CCACGGCCGCCATTTTGAAAACCTATTTCAAACTTAAAGTCAAGTTCTGCTGGACCGATTGAACTTAAAGTTTGTAGGAATGATCGACTCATGGTCCTGACAAAGTGTTGTTATTTTTCAGGTCAATCATAAATCCAATATGGCCGCCACGGCCACCATTTTGAAAACATATTTCAAACTTAAAGTCAAGTTCTGCTAGGCCGATTGAACTGAAACTTTGTAGGAATGATTGACTCATGGTCCTGACAAAGTGTTGTTATTTTTCAGGTCGATCAGAAATCCAATATGGCCACCACAGCTGCCATTTTGGTAAACTATTTCAAACTTAAAGTAAAGATCTACTTGGCCGATTGAACTGAAACTTTGTAGGAATGATCGAATCATGGTCCTGACAAAGTGTTGTTATTTTTCGGGTCAATCAGAAATACAATTTGGCTGCCATGGCCGCTATTTTGCTACTAAGTTCTAATAGGCCGATCTCACTTAAAATTGGTCTAGGAATGATCAGCTCATGGTCCTGACAAAGTTAAGTTAACATTATACTATTTTTTACTCAAATTGGTACATATTTCAACAACAAAAATAAATACTATAGACTCAGGTGACCGTTAAGGCCCATGGGCCTCTTGTTCTGATACACCTTGCAAGTTGTTTGTTAGCAATGATTTATGATACCGTAATGAACTATTCAATCAGTTTGCGTATGAAATAGATTCATGATATATTTTGAATTGAAAGTTCAGACTGCTCTGTGAAGAATTAAAAAAAACCTTTTCCATAATTTAATACAAGGAACATTTTTTTTATAATACAAGTATTTCTGAAAATGTTAATTTGTTAAATCTTATACTATTTTCTCTTTTCAGGAGATTTCATTAATGACCAGCCGTCAACATCTCAAGAAAATCTCAGTCATAGTCAATCATATGGATGCTCTGATGAGGAATCATTTGAATCTGGCCATACACCATCACCTGATGAACAACTTCCAATTTGTGTTGAACAGAATGATACACCTACAGTTACTCTTGAGACTAGTACACTTCTAATGACCCCTGAAAAGCAAAATACTTACAATCTTTCATCATCATTACCAAACATTGACTCAGACTCAACAAGTGCTTTTTCACCTGATGTAGACTCAGTTTCTGAATTTTCATTTTCAACAGATAGTGAATCAGTAGTTCTTGGGTTTTCTGATAATGATACCAGTTCTTCATGTCTTGATGACCATTCATCAAGCTTTTCTTCATCAGACTCATTTGATACAATTTCATCAGCAAGTGAGACAGAAGATAATAATGATGCGGGCATTCCAGAAAATGAATATCAAGCTCTCACTCTTTTATCTTGTTTTTTACGGAACCAGTTTTCGGCGAGTACAAGCAAAGATGTAATACAGACTATAAAAACAATGTTTAAACATCATGAGGACATTTCGAAGCTGGACTTTGGCCAAATGATGTCCTATGTTGACACTACACCAGTCAGAGAAGTACATTATTGTATAAAGTGCAATACTGTCTTTCCAGGTGACAAGGATGTTTTTCAATGCCAAACTACCAATTGTGATGGTCTCCGTTATAAAGGTGTATTGTCAAACCAACAAAGCAAGTCCAGACAGCCAAATCAGAGCTTTGTGTTTAGTGATATTAGGAAACAGCTGATTGATCTTCTCAAAACACCAGGTGATTTTACGTTTAGTTTAGTTTTAGTTTGTTGTGATTTATGACAATAATTTTGCTTTTGTAAAATATTTTTTTTTCCTGAAAGCGACATAACAAAACCTGAATTAAATTTAAGTGTCACTGTATATAGTTATATATACAGTAACATCTGAACCTCATTAATTTGTATAACTCAGAAGACCCTGTTTTATTTGAAATTTTTCCGAGGTCCCAACCAAACTTTACACTATACAGTACTGGATGAAAATATAATGGAGTGTCGTTGATAATCATATGATCACAAATTTGTTTTTATTTATATAATGCATTAGATACATGTACAATGCAAATTTATAAACCTATATATATATATGATGCATTAGTTTAATTCAAAATGTGTTGTCTTTAATGTTTTTATTTATTTATTACGGGACACTGAGAGTGACTCTAATATTGTTTTACATATATTATATATAGCACATGGTAGATCTTTCTGGCATTACCCGTGTCATACCCGTGTCACTTATTAGTCCAGTAGAGTGAAGAAGAGATAAAAAGGTTAAATCCCTCTTAATTTATGTATATAATAAAGAAATACTAAAATTATATTATTTTTTTCAGGAATTTGGGAAGATATTCAAACTACTAAAGCAGAATCCTATGAAAGATTTCAATCTGGATCAACCCTTATCACAGACATTTCTGATGGCAGGGAGTACCAAGCTTTGATGAAGGAGGGCGGGTTTCTTGACCCTAAAACACAGAACATCACAGCAGTGTTTAACACTGATGGTGTGAACTTATATTCCTCATCAAAGGTGGAATTATGGCCTATATTTTTAGCTGTAAACGAGCTTAGTCCTCCAAAACGCTTTTGCAGGGATAACATCTTGCTTGTGGGAATATGGCAGGGTAAAGAAAAAACCCCTTTCAATCCATTTTTCAGGATCTTCAGTGAGGATATGAACTCACTGTATAATGTTGGTGTTGATGTTCAAATTGGAGATGAAGCTTACAATGTGAAGCTTGCAATTATATGTGGCATTGCTGATTTACCAGCTAAAGCAGAAATCCTCAATATGTCATATTTCAATGGATCACATGCTTGTATCAAGTGTGAGGAGCCTGGGATGACGGCACAGCAAGGGAAAGGATACGCAAGATGTTTTCCATATAGACTTCAGGGAGCACGGTATCCAGATCGAAATCATGCAGACGTATTGGTCAACATGGAAAATGATTCTGCAAGAAATAGAGAAAAGGGTTTCAAAGGAGAATCTGGACTCAAACATTTAGAAAGTTACAACCTTGTACTTGGAACAGTTCCAGATTACATGCATGGCGTACTTCTGGGGGTTACCAAATCACTTATGAACAAATGGTTTTCTCCATCACAGAGTGGCAAAAATTACTTTATTGGCAACAAATTGAAAGTAATTTCAGAAAAAATGAAGCAGATGAAACCACCAGACAGTATTGAGAGGCTACCAAGGGACCTGGAAAAGCATTACAGCCACTTCAAAGCGACAGAACTACAATCTTGGCTCTTATATTATGCTTTTCCATGTTTGCTAGGCATTCTCAAGGATGAATTTCTTGAAAACTTCTTGTGTCTCTCTGAAGGTGTCCATATTCTTCTTGGAGACTGCATTAATCAACAATCTCTGAAGAAAGCCATTGATCTCTTGGATCAGTTTTATTCTGCGTTCCAGAATCTTTATGGTGACGGCTCATGTGGTCTGAACATCCACAACACCAGTGTGCACCTTGCAGAGTATGTGAAGCTTTGGGGACCATTATGGGCATGGAGTTGTTTTCCGTTTGAGGATGCAAATGCTCAACTTCTCCAAGCTGTTCATGGAACAGGACTGGTTTTGAAACAAGTAATGGCTTATAGACAGGCGCAATCTTGCATCCGGAAGAGAGGTCTTGCGCTTAAAAAGAAAGAAGGATGGAAGATAACGTACGAAGCAAATAACTGTGATGTTGCTGGTATGCTAAAGTCGGTAAAGCTCCAGGAAATGGAAAATGAGGTCAAGGAACAATTAATCACAGTGCATGATAGCTTCAAGTTAAACAATTTGAAGAAAATGGACAGGATAGTCGTGAATGAAAGACGGTTTTATTCAGAAAACTATAGTCGTATGAAAAAGAGGATATCCAGTGTAGTTCTGTATAACCAACATGAAATTGGATCAGTGAAGTATTTCATTTTATGTGATGATTTGACTTTCTGTATTATTGAAAAAATGGAGAAGATTCCACCATCTCAACTTCAAATCAGAGTAGCAAGCCATTTCATTCCTGTAAGATGCACAAAAACCTTGACAGTGGTGAATGTTGAACAGCTTCGTGAAGTCCTTGTTTACCTCAGCTCAAGTGCAATGAACTGTTCATTTGTTGTCCGAATGCCAAACAACTATGGCCATGCAGTCTTTAAGTGAACAATCAGACTGGTAGACTGGTAGTTTTATATATATTGAAATCCTAATGTAAGCAAACATAATTTGATATATATACTGAAGTTTGTTTTTAGTTAAACTAATGTTACAATGTATTATTAGTGAAAGACATATACAGTTTTAATTTCTAATTGTTCAAGATAATTTTTTTTTTTAATTTTTGGAAAGTGATTAATAGAATTTGAAGATGTGATTAATTAATGAACAGGCCTTTCTCATAGACATTTTTAGTTACCTGGAACAAAAGAAAAACTACAATCAGTATTAAATAATTATATGTAACAGAAAAAAATGACATTTTGAATTGTTACTACAATTTCATTGTTATAAATATTGTTATATATACATGTATACCACATAAATCAAATTTATCACCAATAAAAGGTATATATATATATGTATTAGAACTTCATTAAGTGCTTTAGTTAAATCACAAAACTATTCAAGAACTCGATAGTTCTTTAATTGTTCTTAATATAATCTTTAAGCATTCTAATCAAGAACATTTAAAGAACACATCTTCGTAAAACATTCTTAAATCTAGTCAAGAACACAATAAGAACATTTTAAGAACACTTTTGTTCTTGAGCTGTTCTTAAATTTAGTCAAGAACACATAAGGAACATTTTAAGAACACTTTTGTTCTTGAACTGTTCTTGAAAATGTTCATGAACTTTTCAAGAACAGTTTAAGAACTTCAGCAGTTCTTAACCTGTTCTTGAATAGTTCAAGAACAGTTTCAAGAACTGAAGTTCAAGAACACGGTAGATTTTTTAGTTAAGAACAGTTCAAAAACAGTTCTTGATGTTCTTGAACTGTTCAAGAACTGTTCTTAAAATCAAGAACTTGGTTTCGCAGGGGAAGCCATTGTCCACAAGTTTACCAAGTTTACAAAGTTTATGTATAGTTTTACACTCTAAGACTCCTCTCCTGAGGCTTGGAAACACACGAAACGTAGCTAAATATATCCTTTAGTCTTTCTAGTTTCAGATGGTGTTAGATAGTCCAAGTAAATTATTATAAATTATGGTAACTTAGAGGAATAAAAAATAGCCATTACGATAAATGACTCACTGGTTACTGATGCTGCGATGCTAGGGTACTGGTCAAGCAGTCTTTGTATAGACTGACAAATCGGTAGCTGGTCCTTTGTGTTGACTGACCAATCAACTTCCTCGAGTCAGGCCCATATTCTGGATATGTACAACTGACCAGGCCTTCCGCGGGATGTACGAATGGGTTACTTGTCTGTTACAGCATGTTACAATATTGACGGCATTACCTCATCTGCATCAAGACAAAAGTCCATGGAACTCAAGGAAACTNTTTTTTTGTCGACATAAACCTGGTTTATATACATAAACCTTAAATTTTCTATCTGGGTGGTTGCTTAATTCTTGTCTTAAATTGTTCACATTGACAGGTGTTGAGGCTTGCTTATCAAAGTCGTCACAAGATAGTCACTTTTTGTTTTTTGGACAAGACACTGCCGGGTGTGCCCCATTTAGACAGTTTTTACATGCATGTCCGTAAATACATGACGCCCAAAAAACCCTGCCATTATTGTAGTTGTTGCACAGTTCTATTCCCTCGATTACCACTCTTGACCTTCCGTGTTTATCATCACCCCCTTTTTGTAGTGACGGCTGTGAATAACTGTTGTCTACTCTACTATTGTTTTGCACGGCCTGCTGATTGCCTCTGTAAAACGGTTTGTCATACTGCCGATTACTTGTTGGTGCATATTTATTTTGGTATGGCTGTGTGCTGAGTAGGGCAGGGCAGAAATCTGCAGTGTGAGAACCCGCCCCGCATGAGCAGGTGTACATTTTAGCTCCTGCCATGAGCATGGGCAGTAGGTTGTTGTCCTTTAACGACCAGTTCACCTTTGAGCTCAATTGGTGCAAAGCAAAGGCACTTCTCGCAGACGGTTTGGGTGTCTCAAACACATAATCCTCCTAAACTTCCCAAAAGCGGTGATAACCTCACTGATTGTGAGTGTTTTGTTTAATCGTGGGTCAACACGGGCCTTGATGTTAAGTTTTCCCCCCTCTGTATAAACTATTCGGTTTCTAGCCACCTCGTAATTGGGGATCAATAGGGCGGCCAAATTCACATCTCTTCCCTCGAGTATCTGTCTTTTTAAAGGCTCCGACACGAGATCAAGTCGGGGCAAACTGTCGGACGAAATGCCATTACATGACGAAGACAAGTTTGTGTACGCACCTGTTGCTGTGTGAACTTGGTTACTGGCCGTCGGTTGATATCGTGACAGTTCCGCCATGGCTGCTTCCAACTTGTTTGTTTCTGTGGGAGTGGTAGCAGATTGTAAGCTACGCTCGATCTCGCACTGCAGCAACAAATTTATTGTCGTCTGCAACTAATCCACCACGTTGGTTTGTTGATGTCTGTAAATATGTAAATAAAAGCATGTGGACTCTTCCACTGTCTTTATCCATATCTGGTTGCAAATAAAAAAATAAATAATATAAGAATAAATAGCATTAACTGTGTTTTCTTGGCACATAGTTACCTTAATACCTTAATCTTTTAATGCTTTGATTTTAGTAACATCTTTGTAAATTAAATGCTCTTCAGGTTTGGAGTTTTTTTTTGAGTCCCCACAACCTTGTCGATGGCCGTCTTTTGTGTTATTTACTTTCTACATGTTTCGGCCTGCTCTGCAGCAATCATCAGGATATATTTACAATTTCACGTGTTATTGACTCAATAACCTTTGTTGAGATTATTATCACTTGATAATGATAGTCGTTCTCGTGCGCGTAGTGAAACATACACTGTGTACATATGTGTATGTCAACAACCTGTGGGTTTCCATTACTATTTTTGGAAGTAAACCAGGGATACCAGATTTTTACAACTCATTAGTGTATTCATGCAAAAGATACATGGTTGAAAGGACTATGTATGGTTTGGGCATGTTTTGGCCTCCAAATGCATCAAAATTCAAAACCTTTAAATGAACTGTCAAACGACTGTTTCTTTAATTTTGAATACTCCCCAAATACTATCATGAAAATATTTATTTGTATTTCTAAATATTGTTGTCTGTAAATATGGTAACAAGTTCAAATGTGCATAAATTAGAAGAAGAAAAAATGTTCGGTGAATATTCGTCTTATTTTGAATAGTTTCTCTCCAGGAAACTATAGAGCGCATGCTTGAACAAACTTGATATCAAAGGATAATGTGTAGACACCTGTTATACATCTTTAATAATGATAATAATATACAACATTTGATATAGGGCCCTATCTAGCTAACATAACACTGGCTAATATCTCCCTATAATGTTCGATATACGGCAATTTTGCTGTATTAATAGTTCAGTCGTCGGGCAGCTGCAAGGCAGAAAGTTTATGGTGCAATTTTTCTGCCTCACACTGTCTACTGTCGCAGTAAAGAAAATTTTGGGTGATAGCTAAGGTTTATTACTGTATTATTATTGGTATGTAATATTGCATGTTTTGGAACAGAAATCATTATAACCAAATATTGAAAGCAAGAGACTGAATGATATAATTCAACAAATGTTTTTGTTTGGATGATAGTCCAATGCTCATTTTAAAGTCGTAATGTTAATAGGTATAGTCGCTCTAGGGTTATCACACAAGAAGTTCATTTTTGTTTGTTTTGGGTCTTGGTTAGGTCTAAAGGGCACGCAGATTTAGAGTGATTTCCTTTATATAATTAACACACATGCGTGTAGCTGCATGAAGGCAAATTGCATCCAAATTGGCTGTTGAAATTGTTGCAAAGTTCAAGACCTTCATGGTAAACAAGTGGACGACTATGACCATCTACTGAAGAGAAACTAGAACTCCTAATTGTTCCAATCTTGGAATTTTCGGAAACTCCACTGGGGGCCCCTTGACGCTTAGGGCCAAACACAGAAGTGGGACAAAAACCTGTTACATGTAAAGGGCTGTCAAACAAGTTACACGTGAGAGGCTGTTGGTTAGTAAAAATATTGCAAAAGAGATCATTGTCTCTAATAGACCAGTCTATCGGTGTGTTGGTATAGCGGAGTTGTGCTGCCGCCCTGGCTGAAAACTGTCGATGATATTCATAGAACCCTACAGCATATCTAGTGCCCATGTCCACGATGTCTCTCTTGTAGAGATCGAGCTCAACACGTCTAGCCGGGTAAACCGAGCACATAACTTGTTTATATATACCAAAAGCCAAAATGAATTCATTCAAAGTTAAATTCCTGGAAAGTCTTGTGTCAGGCTTGCTTAACGTATGGCCATTTGGGTCACTGTTATTAACGAAGTAGGGTATTAACAATGCTGCGAGGTTTATGTCCCTACCAGTAATAATTTGCTGATGTAGAGCGATCGATATCATTTCAACTAAAGAATCTCGAAGTATAGAGCCAACGCCGTACTTCTGGTTTATGTTTGGTAGGTTCCGAAATCCCGGCTTGGATACCAATTAGTATGCAGGGCGATTGAGAATGTGGGTAAATATAAATCGTAAGAAATCAATCGCAACAAGCCATAGGGTAGGTGGTTCTTGGGTTTATTTGGAAGGTCGACCGGTTTCGCCCTGAACTAGGGCTTCTTCAGGACAATTTTTTCACAAGATTTTTACCCCTAAAGTACTAAAAATGTGGGCCCATGTTCTATTATTGATGACGTCTATACAATAGTGACGTNTCTTTCTGGATCAAGTGGGGGCCTTGCTTTCCCAGGGGAGTGGAATGGTTTTTTTCCAGTCCTAGAACAGGACACACAAGGTCCTGTCTTGAAAAAACTGTGAGAGTAATTCTCCTCATACACTCGTTGATTTCTTTTTCCGAGTTCCCAATATGACCCACAGATTTCAGTAAGTTGTCCACTGTCAATGTGGAGGACGAAGCTGTTGAGGATGTGGAGGTCAGTGTAGTGCTGGAGGAACTATCCTCTGTAGTAGCAGGATTACTGTTTTGACATGTTCCAGAAAGTTCAGAAAATTTCCTCTTCAAAGACTTAAGGGAGGACCTTAAGTCTTTCACCTCCCTTTCCAGATGGTCAACCCTCTTCTCCAGCCTTCGACTGCCACTGAAAAATATGAAAATTAAAAAACATACAAAATATAAGATTTAAAACCAAATACCTATGCGGGTAAATTAATCATACAGTTAATAAGCCTTAAAAATATTGGGCCTCTAGTCTAAGTTCTGCAGATCACTGATAACATTTTATTAAATAAATAATTTATGGTTTAACAGATATTATATATATAAAATAAACTTTCCTTGAGGATGCTAGAAAGTTTGTTATCAAGTTTTATTTGTTTATTTATATGTTTGACAAGTAATAATATTTACCTAGGACGCAAATTGGATTATACGATTTATATTTCAACTAAAGTTAATGTTTCTGAAGCGTAACCAAATCTGGTCCTCTTACACGTCTCACCTTGTGGTTGCGTTAATTCGTCCTCGAAACATCTGTATGCCGTATTTAAAGTGAACTCCTGTTGTGGTGGAGATGAAGTTGGGGGCACATGTGTCACTGATGTGGCCATCTGTCTTTCGCTACCGGCGGCTGGTGCCACTGGAAGCCTGGATTGGGAGTCTTTTTTTTCTTATTCTCTGATGCAACCTGTTTTGCCTATTAAACATAAAACGGAAGACAACAGAGGATTAGAGGGGTTCTTTCTCGTTTTCATCTTTGGTCCTATCGGTTACCCGAGTAAAAATATATATACCTTATAAATTAGGGGTGCCACGATAAACCGGTATACCAGTACACAGTCACCAAATATTTTATTCCTAGTGTTTATTGTTCAATGCTTTCATTGTTTTGTTGTCTTATTTTTGAAAATTTAAATAAAACATTGTTCCAAATCTGGTCCTCTTACACCTCTCACCTTGTGGTTGCGTGGATTCGTCCTCGAAACGTCTGTATCCAACGTGTACTCCTGTTGTGGTGGAGACGAAGTTGGGGGCACCTGTGTCACTGATGTGGCTATCTGTCTCTCGCTACTGGCGGCTGCTGCTGCCACTGGAAGCCTGGATTGGGAGTCTATTCTATTCTCCAGTCGCTGATAGCACTCCTGTAATGTAGCTACACTTTCTGATAAGCTCGTAACCAAGTTCACCAAATGGTTATTACTACTCGACGACTCGGATTTATGTTGAGATGCAGTGTTTACAGACTCACGTGAAACATCCGGTCCTCCATCTTGCCGCGATGCATTGTGGTATACCGCACCTCTCCTGTGTGGTCTGACGGGGGTAGAAGTTCTCGCTTCCCGTAACTTCTTGACTAAACACATATGATAAGATCCAGGCCTGAGAGAATGCAGTTATTCCAGGACCCTAGTAATAGTCCAATTCTCTAGTAATTATTGATATTTTGCATAGTTTTGAACATTCTTTTTCTCCCTTTGCTGATGACAGAACGGGGTTGAATGGGAGGTCAATCCACACAAATGGCAGGTGTTCACTTTGGAGTTTCCTACCACCATACTGAGAAGGCCGTTGTCCTTCATGTCCTAGTGGACCTTCTGATTACTATCTCTCAAGGCAGTTTCAGCCTTCATGGTGAATGTTTGATATTTCTATAATGTTAGCTTTATAAACAAGTTCTGCCCGTCGTTCTGGAAATTTGTCGCACATAACCCTTTTGAATTTCCCGAATGCGGTTATGAACTCAGGGATAGTCAGTGACTTGTTCAGACGGGGTCTTCGGACTCATATAGGTGTATGTTTATACCCTTATGGCGATCATCCGGGCGGTCGGTCTCGAATTTGGGGATAAGAAGGGAGGCAAAATATACGTACTCCCCCTCCAGAGTTTTCTTCTTGTGAGCATTGGATACAATGTCAATGTGGGGAATACTGTCGGAGTTTATGCCCTCACCTGTAGTCTCTGTAGTGTTGTTACCGGTCTGCTCCTGAACTTGTCTCATCAAAGCGTATGCCGTCGTCAATGTATATTCCTGAGCATTACTCTCAGGCGCATCGCAAGCTCCAATCAGTTTGATGACAGTCTGTTGGAGGCCCTACATAGTCTGTTGCATATCATGCATGGACGACAACATGCCTTCGATGATCATGTTGTTACCGGCGCTGGAGGCCACCATATGGATCCCGTCCAACTCTCGTCTCTCACGTTAGCTCCCGGATTAACACGCAGCTGTTGGCGCCTCACTACCTTGCGGTCTAGCCAATGCCGTCGCGTCACGAAGTAGTTCCGTGTAATTGTCCTGTGCAGGCGCACAGTTGTAAATATACATCCCCTCTGCAGTAACTATAAGGTTACCTATGGTTAAAACTCTTAATATGTTCCGAACCAGCAGGCTATATGAAAAGAGACCTTAATAGTATATTGATTTGATTTAAAATAATTCCGTGATTAACGGACAAAATAATTAATAATTAATGAAACTCAAGATTATTTCCGACTGGTCATTTTGCTACGGCCGCTGGACTGAAGCGACGCTATCCAAAATTCCTGCGGCCAATCAGACTGCTGTTTGGTTGCAGGTGAGCTATCAATTACCATCATTGACCACTGACCAGTCGGGCCCTTGGACATGTATACTGTCGACTTACACCCAACCAAATATAGATAGATCCCCCAACAAGTGATTGTTTACAGTAGGCCCTCGCTATGTATATGGTCGCTGCCCATCTCCGATACACACATAGTCAATCCACTGAATATTTACAGTACAAGGGATTAATCAATATCTATTATTAGTTAGTATCATTGAGGATCTCATTATTATCATTATTAGCCAAGCTATACTGACTAGTAGCTTGGCTTGTAACATGTATTTGATTAATTCAATCCTGGCTTATGTACAAGTACATACCCTAGTGAAAAAAACCACCGGTATTCCAGTGGGATTCCACTGGAATGCCACTGGCATACCGGTGGTAAAATCTGCCGGTATTCAACTGGGCAAAGCCATTGGCATTCAAGTGAAATGCCATTGGAAATTCCACTGGTATACCAGTGGCTTTACCACTGGTAAATTCTGCCGGCATTCCACTGAAAACCACTGGTATTCCATTGGAATACAACTGGTATGCCAGTGGAATGCCGGCAGAATTTACCAGTAGTAAAGCCAGTGGATTACCAGTGGAATTCAACTGAAATATCTGCCAGTTTTCATCTCACAAAGCAGTGGTATGCCAGTGAAATACCACTGGAATTCCAGTGTCAATCCAATGGTTATACAACTGATCAGACAATATGGACATGATGCAAAGCTCACTCCCTATATAAAAATGGAAACAAAACAAATAAACTTGAAATTGTCATAAAATGCATGGATGAAAGTGTTCAGTTTTTGAAACACTGAAATAGCTGGTTTTGCAAAATTTGTAGACATATGGGGAGAAATAGCCCCAAAATACTGAAAACTTTCACCCATGAAGATGTAAATAGGTAAAACTAGAATGACTTTCATCATGAAATCTCAAATTTATTTCCTCTTCATGAATTAATATAACCTTTTTTTTTTAAATTTAGTTACTATAAAATTTGAATTATGTTAAAGTAATAAATGATTTTAATCTTGTCTGTAATCTGAATCCTGTTAGTTGTCCATTTTCTTCTTCATTTTCCGGATCTTGTCGTTCATTATTCTGACAAGCTTCTCCCAGTCAGTAGTTTTGTAAGTTGCAAATATGTGTGCTGAAAAAGAAACCAAAAGTTTCAAAAATAAGTACCGTATATATAGCTATATATGAGATTCCTGAAAAAATGTAATATTTATGGAAAGAGTGCCATTTATCATTTTATATATTAATGTAGTAGTTTGCCGTTATAGTCCTTACATTTAATTCATGACTGTTTAATTGAGGTAACGTCTGTTTCCAAGATTATATAACACCTATACATAAATTTTATTGACATTTTTATGGAACATAAAGGAACAACAAAACAATTATAAATCTAGCTAGGGCTATGAGACGCTCAAGGCTCAGTGATTCTTCTGAAATAAAAAATGTAAAATGTTCATGACAGATGCAGAGGGATGAGAAAAGCTCACATGAGCTAATCAATGCTTAACAGCCTATTTGGTTTAGAGGGATAGATAAGTAATTATTACTTCGCAATGCCTTCCTCTTCTTGTCTTCAATGGCCTCTTTTTTGTGTTGGGTATTCCCATACATGGTACATGTTGTAATTTCGTCTGGGGTCAAAACCACCTCCAGCAGGTTCAAGGCCAATTTTTCCGTTGTCTTGGCACTCTTCTCACCCCTTTCCAAAGCCTGCCTGGCCACTTTGATGCCATATTGGCTATCGCCAATGTATACAAGATCTTCAATTAAAAGATAATCAAAATTACAATGTATACAAAATACAATCCTATTCATAGAAATCTATGTATGAACTATATAATATTGAAGTTCACTGTAAAATATTCTGTGCTCTAATCCAATCGGCTCTATCCGCACAATGAAAAGTGCATCATTAACTTAACAAGTAGACATGAAAATTTTAACAGATGCACACCAGGCGGAACTTTCACCATGAAAGTGGCATTATTTTTCGAATATAAGCCTATAATGTTGAATTTGACTTTAAAATTTGGCCCCCTTGATAATCCCAAGTACACATCCTAGGTGTCATGCATACAAAATAATATAACTCAGTTATTTATAGTTTGTGCAGAAGATTTTTGAATCCAAATATGCATTTGCAAAATGTTATCTTATAGACCCCTTTCAATTGGTGTGTGACCCCATATAATATAAACCTAAGGCCAAATAAACAAGAGGCCCAATGGGCCTGCATTGCTCACCTGGTATTCACTTCTTTGATTCTATGCCTTTCAGTTAATCAAAATAACCTGATTTTGTGCTTTAACAAATTTGACCCCTGTGACTTTATATGGGTCAAGGCCATTTCCTACACAAATATCTTTCTGGGGCCCCAATGCTGCCTATATATATAGACCCTCCATTTTAACAAATCTGAATCCCTTTCTCCCAATGTGTGCCAACAAATCTATGAAGTTTGCTTCTTACCAGTATTAGATTCTGAAACCGTTTCCAGTACGGCGACGTCAGATGCAGATGACGCCATACCATCTGCTTGCAGTGGTGGTACTTGTGCTGAAAAGGATAAAAACCATTATATTGTGAAGATACAAAATAATAATAAGTAACGATTAAAATGCCTGTGACCATCAAAGGTTTTATATATCTTTAACATTTATTTCTATACTGTAATGTTGTAAGGTGCCAATACTTATTATTAAATTTTTAACACCATCTGTTTCATAAAACAAGAAGCCCAAATGGCCTGTCTAACCAGGTTCAAATGACAGTTAATATTCAGAACACAACAAATATATTGCCATTTCCAAGTTTCTAATATACTCTGGACATTTCCCCTTATATGATTGCAGGTAAATTTTGCAAGGAGTACCATAATCATAGATATATATATGTTTTGTGTGCACAAATACAGTTTTTGAGACATTTATCTGTTTCAATATGTTAAGGTATCTGTGACCATGATACTAAACCTGGAAGATTATCAAAAGTATGCCATGCATCAATGTGTGAAATTTTCATTTTAGCTTGCATCTGTGACCTTCACCTTTGACCCTGAACATTTGCAACATCTTCACATTAATTAGTACCTACAATTTTCTTAGTGTATACATGTACAGAAAAGTCCATATTTTGGAGATACTCCTGACAACAAGTTATAGGTTTTGTGTTAAAGGTTTAGTCATTGTGTAAAACATTTTCCCCCTTTCCACCTTACCTTCATTGCTGGATGATTTTTAGGGCGCATTTTCAACTTCATGTCCACTGCATGATTGATGATGTTCTATTAAAAAAAAAAAAATTATGGTTCAGCATAATCTCACAATTAACGAAAAACAATCATTAATCAGGAAACTCTATAAAAACAATAGTATCAACAAAGACACTTATATACTGCAGAAAACCATTGTTACAGAGTCTAATTTGAAAGTTCTAGAAGATTGACATAAATGGAAAGCATGAAAAATTGCCACTACCCAGAAAGCCTATAAGTGGGACATACTAAAATGACAAGAACTTGAAATTTGAAATGCAAGTTCTTCATGCAAAAAGCTGTGAATAAACGAAAAGTTAATGGAAGGCAAACCAAAGCCATATACAACACTATCTTTTTCCTCCTTTTTATACGCCNGAGATCTGCATTCTGGTGCTCTGCAAAGTATTTCATGCAATAAAAGTAATATACAAGTATGAAAATATGAATATGAACGTACCATAACTAAACTCCGATAGTCTTTTCTGAAGAGAAGTTCTGCTGCCTGTTCGAGGACTGCAGATGTTGACCGCTGTCACAGATTCTTTCGATTCCAACCTCTACAATAGATTGAAAATTAAACCAAAGTGAATTGTTTCATTAATTCAAAATGAAGTTAAATTCTGTGTTTTTGGTTGCTACAACTTCTTTGTTAATTATCCCATTATTCAACAAATCCAATTTCAGTACCCACCTATTGTTTATTCTGCTAAATATGTCCCTGTTCTCTTGATGAAATTTTACAGCCAATGTTAAATTTTAATGACATGATACAGATTAACTAGATATGTTTGATGATACTGATTAACTAGATATGTTTGAAAAACATGTATGCCTTTCAACTAGGATTATAACATGTCTGATATTGGGTCACAATCTTAACTAATCCAAACAACACCACCTATTCAAGATTGAGTCACACATCTTGACTCAACATTCCCCTTATTTTGTTAGTTGGGGATGCATTATCCCCCCCCCCCCCCAAAAAAAAAAAAAAAGAAAGAGAAATGCAATACAAAAGATCTTTAACACTTTACCTTGTAGCTCCTCCTCAGGCAGTATTTAGCAATGTTTCCACTATATCATAAGTGTCGTCAACCTTAAATTAGAGGAGTTCATATCAAAATATCTAACCAAAAACTAAGTCTAATGACACACATTTTTGTGTTAAAAATATTTAAAAGTATTTAAAGCAGTTAATTAATATCTGTTTGTCCAGGAGTTCTTGATAAGGAGTCTTTGAAAGAGAAAGTTTACAGATGAATGGGGGTATATGTATTAAATTCATTGTCCTTTTTATCATACTTTCCGAGTTACATTTGAGTTTGATGTCTCAATGTCTTAAACAAGTTGCAGGCTAGACAAAAACCATCACATACCTTGCTTTGAATTTTCTGTAGCATATCCATTAACACATCCATGTCCACTGAATGCTTGGAGTCATCCACATTATCCAGGAGCTCCACAAAACTGACACTTGCTGCATCTCGTTCAGATGTTCTCAATCGCTTTTCCTTACTGTCTGTTGCCTTAGCCTGTTTTAACTACATTAGTATAGGGGAAAAAATATTCTATTAGTATCTCATACTCATAAACAAGAGATTCATCTTTATTTGTTTTAAAAGGGTTGCAAAGCACACACTTGAATTGAGTTCTTGACAGATCATGATCAGTATAATATACGGCCAACCGATCATGCTAACTTACCTCATCAGTTGACTCTCGTTTCCTTTTCGATTAACAAAATTCCACTGGAAAACCACTTACTGTATCAATACCACTGCTATTTTTGTTACCACTGGTATTCCACTGAAATGCCATTGCCAGTGGTATAAGGCAGTGGTATTCCAGAGAATGATCACCCATATTCCACTGGAATACCACTGACAGCATCAATTCCACTGGCATACCATTGGCATACCAGTGGTATTTTGAATACCAGTGGTTTTCAGTGGTATTCCAGTGGTATTCCACTGCCATTTTCTGTGGGGTTTTGTTCACACTGAGAGCAGACATGGATGTACGTGCATGACGACTCACGATTACAGCCCCTTTTAGTGTTGTAGTTGTTGCATAATTCCAGCCCATTGTAGAATACACGTTTGTGGCCATGTTTGTCGGTATCTGTAGCGTTTGACAGAATACGTGAAGTTTCTGAATGATCATTATGATTGTTCTTGGACTGTTGATGGTTGCCGCTGCGGGGACAGTAATGTGTCTCATGCGACGCTTCACTGAGTTGCCGTGCGGTGCCGCAACTGCCGGACTTGGCCCCGGCGGTGACCAATTGAATTAGGTCTCGATCCCTAATGGACCAGTCCATCTTGAGGCCGTGGAGGGCCATGGCGTTCGCACTTTTCAAAGAAAACAGTTTATGATACTCATAGAATTTAGCACCGTATATGTTATACAGGCCTACAACAATGGCTTCGTACTGTTCTAATTCTTCTTGTCAGTCGGGATAAGCCTGGGACATGGTGCGTTTATATCTTCCGAACGCCGTAATGAATTCTCCAATACTAAGAGACCGGCGGAGTTTGTGTTCTTGGGCCTGATTCCTTTGTGATTGGGTATCGGGGACCTCATAGTAGGGGATCAACAGTGATGCTAAGTTAACGTCCCTACCTTCAATTATCTGTCTCCTCACCGAGGCCGCCATGAGGTCCATGTGAGGGATGTCTTCGGGTGATACCCCAAACCTCGCCCTGGGCATGGCGCTGGATGCCGTTTCATTGACTGTTGAGATATGAGGTCCCGCCCCCGTCTGCATCGTAGGTCGAGTATACAGTTGGTCCAGCATCATAGTTGGGTGTTTCTCCTTGCTGCTGGCATTGGTGACATGATGAAGGAAGGGGTAAAACACTCCTCTGACTAATACCTCAAAAGTTCATGAATTAGTTCATTAAGTAATTTTCAAAAGGTGGATCAGTTTTAAATGGTCCTAACAAATAGCCTTTATCACATGTATAAGGGCACTTTTGTTGGTTGATAATAAGTTCTTACAGTCTTTATTCAACAAGTCCTTATCTTCCACTTTTGTATTAAAACCACTACGTAATCCATTACACAAATAAGACACAAACTGACGATCGGGGTGTTGTAGTAACTCCATTTCTAATCTGTCGACATTAATAGGTGTAGATGCTGTGAATGGTATGGTCTCAGTTAGTCATTGTACTAGGTGGTCTGCCCTTCTACTTTTCCTACATTCGTGTAGGCCATGTGATGCTGATTTACATGTCACACACATGCTTGTAACGACACGCAGTCCAAGAACATCCTTTCTATGATTGAAAGTGACGGACATGTTTCCACACCCTCATGGTAGACCCTTTCCTGTCTACTGTTTTTGTTATTAATCCAATCTCATGTACATGTATGGCAAAGCCCAAAGAACAACATACAAATTGGTTTGGGTGAACATAGACCATGATTTATTGCGCATTACATAATTTCAAAACAGTAATAACAATAAAGCAGTATTTAAGGTTTATGAAGATAAACCAGGTTTATGTTGACAAATAGTATCCCAACCTAAGCAAGCATACTAAACAGCAATAACAGATTTTGCAGACTGACCACACAGGTACACTATAGGGTCAACATGCATGTTCAGTGTAGGGGCCCATGTTCAGAGTAGGGGCCTGAGCATAGTCGCAGCTGATTGGTCAGCCCACGCAGAACGGCCATTCAGTTTGGTACAGCCTCCGTAACTGACTGATCTATTTGATAACTTTTTCATATTTATCCCGATCTTCGTGACTAACCCGGATTATTCTACCTAAATTTCAACCTAAAACTACATGAATTCTCAGTGACTGGACGTGAACAATTTACATCTCGTTGACAATTGTTTACATTACGCTTAGTGCGTGTGTTGTGGCATCAGCTCTAAAATTAAACTGTAAACATGGCTTCCCGCCGCCCACGAGGACGTTCTTCAACACGTACCGAGCCATGGGACACCGCCAATCCATCGAATTGGACGACCACACAGCTACGTTCCAAACTACAGGAAATAGGCATACTCATGCCTCCCAACATGAGTAAGGCTGCACTGAAGGGAATTTATCTGGAGAACATCGGGAGGAGACGGAACACTGGCGTCGCGCCATTATCTCGGGTTACTGAATCGACGACGATGCAACCTGGACCACAGAACGCAGAATGTGCAATTCGCAACATCACTCACGAGGATACTCCGCGACCAATAATTCCGTTAGAACCAAATTTGACCACGGAAAATTCCTACGCGGAATGTGGTCTACATTCTGTCGCGGAACATGCGCGCACTGTCCCAAGCAGTAGTGATCAGGCTCACACGGAGTCGAGTATTCCTACGCGCACCCAGACATCAACAGACGTGACGTCATCCAACATGGCCGCGCCCACTACAGAACACGTTACCTTGAAGGACATGATGGAGGCTATGCATTCTATGCAACATACCGTGCTAGGATTGCAGCAAACGGTGCTGGGACTCGTCGGAAATTCCAACCAACAACACATGGCTCCTTCTAGTACGAACCTGAATGTGAACACTATTCCTTCTAGGACGCATTCGAATGTCATTACGACATCGGATTTGCCAAGGGATCTGACGACGTATACGACGCCTTCGACATCCACAGGTGGGTACCGTCTACCTATATCTGAATTCGGGGTTCCTTTAGAGAGTATCCCCCACATAGATATAATTTCCGAGAAACTAAAAAAGAAGATTTGGGAGGGTCACGACATCAACCTCGCCCACCTTCTTATGCCCAGACTAGAAACCAGAGAGGTTGAAGATAGGGAAGGTTCCTCTATCAACATTTCTTTCAACGAGACCGAAGATCCGAGATTAAATAAATCGCTGAACATAAGTGAGTTCATTACCGCCTTCGGTAAATTCAAAAGGACAGTTTGCCAGAGGGCCCCACAAAGGCGAGTTGAACTTGATAGATACGAGGCAAACATAATAGAAATCTCAAATGTGTATGGGGCAAAATTTTATGATTACCATTGCCAATTCGCAGCCAGGGCAGCTGCAGCATTTAGAGACAAGATAGCCAAAGTGGACTGGTCACTAAAGGACAATGGCCTCCTTGCAATGATAGTTGGGAACACCAGAGTTAACACTTGTCAACTCTGCAACCTGACGTCACACAGCACAGCATTCTGTCCGCAGCAGAGAATGAAAAAGAACACCTTCCATGGAAACCAAATGCAACGAAACCATAACACAAACTATCCACAGCACAATGACAAGGATACAGATCGTCATGGCCGCCAAAAAGTGAAATTGAACGGGAAGGAATTGTGCAACAATTTCAATGCAGGAAAATGTCAACGCGGTGAAGGCTGTTTCTTTT